ACACTGAGGGTTGCGATCCGTTGCCGGACACGGAAAAAGACAAAAGACAAAAAAAATATATATATATTTTTAGAAATTGACTGTACTTTTAATCTATAGCCACCTTTAGGGAGAGTTGTATATATTTATTCCCCTTATCGTTTTGCTGTTTCTCCCATACAACCAATTATTTTTTAGCACCATACTGTTAAAAACAGTGACATTTTTTTAAAAATTGAAATTACTTTTATCAATTAAAATAGCAGCTACTAATTTTTTGGCTATCTTCATCCTTACCCAATTTCAACTTGACAACTCTAAGTTACTCAAACCAAACTGATAACTCCTATTGCCTTTTCCATATCATCTTGCAAATCCTAAGCACTTTTAAGTGTGGTTAAGTAGAATCTTTATTGCTTTCAACTGCTGATTTATTTACTCCATTGTGCTACTTGGCTTCAATTCTCACTTTTGAATAGTTTCCAATCTAGTACACTGATCTCTATTATCAACAGTGATTGTCTTTGAGGAAAGATTAGTTATTCTTTTTTTTTTTTTTTTTTTTTTTAAAGATGACCGGTAAGGGGATCTTAACCCTTGACTTGGTGTTGTCAGCACCATGCTCACCCAATGAGCTAACCGGCCATCCCTATATGGGATCCGAACCCGGGGACTTGGTGTTATTAGCACTGCACTCTCCCGAGTGAGCCACGGGCCGGCCCAAAAGATTAGTTATTCTGACAGCCAAAATTTCTACCTACCTCATTATTTATTCCTTTTAAGGACAAAGCTTTTATTTTTAAAAAATGTTGCTAGAAATGACTCCTTTTAAACATAATTTATGTTCAATTGAACATAATATAGCCTTTTAGTTTTCTTATGACCTGCGTTATCTTTTTTAATAACACTGCAGCACAAAATTCAACTACCATCGGGGCCTTCTTAATGGATAAATATCTTCTAAGCTTCAGGTCTGCCTTCCTTAAAAATACCTTATATTCCCCAGGCTTTCCCTTTAAAATTCTCTGCTTTCTTTTTATAATATTATTCCTTTAGGTGGTACCCAAAAAGGCTAAATACTGACCTGATAGTTATATGAATATGGGGATGAAAAAAAATATTCATTCTCCTCATCACAAGGAGCAAAGGCTCATTTCTCCCTTTTCAGTCATCTCTCACACCGGAAGTTAATAACCATTTCATCACAATGAGGCAATAAACAAATTCAATTTCACCTTAGTCACAATAACTATGTATAGTTTCTTCTTTACTGAACTATTCTGAACTGCCTGTAAACTTTATCCATAGATAAAATAAGAGAGTCAAACATAGTATTTAAATGTACAAGACTCTGATTAGTGTCAGTAACAATAAACTCAAAAGTCAACTGCCCACCTCAGAACCCATATAAAAATCTTACCTTCATTTCTGGGTTATGTGCATCATAACTCCTTCATCATATCCCTTCCATAAGAGTGGCTCTCATTTAACACTGCACTATTCAAGGGGGTTAGTGGCAGTTAAGGCCCTCAAAGAAAATGCAACTCTAGAGGTCGGGGGTGGCATGCTTAGTTTGAAAAACGAATTCATCCCTCCAAGCCACCCCCACCAAAAGAGTCAATACTATCATCTGACAGAAAATCTTAGTTACACAGGAGAAAATTCAGATTAGAACTAGACCTTCTCTTCTTTTTTTTGTACTCCATTACTTCCTAATTGAATATACTCCTACTTACTTAGCTTATATACAAGGTTCAATAAACTCAAGGTCAGGATGCTCACTATATATTTGAAAAGACAAAACATAAACACTGAAATAATTAATGGTTCAAAAACTTAGTTGTTTTTTTTTTTAAAGAGAGATGACAGAGTGTCATTAATTTCCAACAGCACAATAGAGACAATGAAGACTGAATTTACAGGGAGTGAAGTATTTTAGTGAAAGGAGGTTTGGGAGGTTTCACAGAGAAAGACTTGAGATTGGCTTTGAAGAAACTGTATAATTGGACTACAGGGATTAAACATTGTATTTATTTCAGGCTGGTAAGTTTATCAGTTGTCTTCATACCTAAACATAGACTTTTCAAAGATATAACTGCATTTATCACAAATCCTCCTTCCACCTCTCTTCCCAACCCCATTCTAACCACACTTAAATTTCTTAGATGTTCTCTATAGCTCTGAGCCTTTGTACAAGCTTATTCTTCTGCCCAGAACAATTTTCCTCCCTTTCCCCACTTTAATCCCCTTCAGATACTCTTTCCTAGATGACCCCTCCCACTTTTTCAGGTTCTATCTTAATTGACCTCCTCTGGGAAGTCTTCTTTGACTCTCTAAGTTTTTGATAAGAGTTTTGGTTATGTAGTCCCATAGGACTCTGTACTTTCTCTATAATAACCCCTATAGGGACTGGCCAGTTAGTTCAGTTGGTTAGAGCATGGTCACTGGTTTGGATCCCCATACCGGCTAGCTGCCAAAAAACACAAACAAAACAAAACAAAACCCCATATAACAACTTGTTTAATTTTCTATTTCTTTTGCTAGAATCCTGAAGTCAGAAGCCTGTATCTGCCCTGCTTGTATTTATCTCCAGTGCCTGGTGCAATGCCCTGTAATAAGTATACCACAAAATGTTTGTTGAATAAAAAGTTACATTTCTCAACAATTAAAATTATTCTCAGGTAATTTACTTAGGAATATTTAGTGGAAAAAAATTATAATGTTTAGAGTTTAATCAGTAAGATAAATTCCAAACTACATGTACCTAAGTGTTAATTTCTTTTATAATTCTTATATTGTATGTATGAGAGAAGAAAAAATAACCTGAGTAGGTCAACAGCATGCTGTTGGTACTGTTGTAAACAAACAAATTAAGGGCAAGATTCTTGCCAAGAGAATTAATGTATGTATCGTGCATATTGAGATGAGATAGCTTCCTGAAACGTGTGAAGGAAAACAATCAGTAAAAGCAAGTCAAAGAGAAAGGAACCTGAGTTCAACTGAAGTGCCAGCCTGCTCCACCCAGAGAAGCACACATGTGAGAACCAATGGCAAGGAGCCTGAGCTCCTGGAACCTGTTCTCTATGAATTTATGCCATAATGGGTGTTTTTCTTGAGAAGTGTGGTGTCCCTTCCCCCAAAGAAATAGTAAAAGCGAAAAGTAAAAATAAAAATAAATAAAAGCAAGAAAGTTAGTAGTTTTTCCTCTAATTATCTCACATCTGGATGACTATAATTGTCCAACAGATAAATGGAGCAAGAGTTTTTTCCTCTCCTTTCTGGAGGGGGATGGGTGTCTCTCTCCTCTTTATAGAAGAAGAAAATCGTTCTCCATTCCTCACCTATGAAGCAAACTCCGAAGCTTGTATGGGTAGGATATTTGACCTGGTTTTCAGAAAGTAGCCCCTAGGGTAAGAATTGGGTGCAGGGAACCATGTGGTTATTATTTGCTTTAAATGACTAATGATTATCTGTCTCTGATCCAGAGCACCTTGTGTGCACATTTCAGATAAAATTAATAAAGATGAATATTAAAAGTCCTACACATATCAGTTATTTGTAACTCTATAGTTCAAATTATATCTTTATATCATCTTTTAAAATTCTAATGTAGTATAAACCTAAAACACTCTATGAACATAAAATTTTGATAATTGTCTTCTAGTTACCACCTAGAAGTTTCCTAAGTATTCTTGATTTACAGCCAGCTGAATTGAAAATGGTTAACTTCTTAAGTATCATGGTCAATAACCTCAAATTATATAATTTGAGAGTGACAAACAAATCAGATGACTAATCCATGCCAATAATCTTATTTTACAGTTGAGGAAAGGGTTCAACATCAGGAACATACATCTCCTCCAGGGTAGGATTAGAACCCAGCTCTTCTGATACACAGTTCAGGGTTATTTTGATTGATAGTATACTGCCAAATCATCAGTCTTATGATGCCGGTACAAATTTAATCTGAAAATATAAAAATCCATTCCTCAATAGAAGCCTACATTGCTCTTTGAATTGTAAAAAACATGTAAGTCATGCCTGAAGTTAAATGGAATCTTCTTCCCCAGTGACTTAACTCATCTAACAATCTCAACTGTGATTTGAAAAGATTTTTTTTCGCTAGCACCACTATTAGAGTTTTTTTAAATTATTGTTTTGTCAACCACCCAGTGATTGACCCAGATCTGTCAGAAAGTTGAACTGATGCAAAAATAACCTGATATTCAGTTTGGAGTACACGAATTATTCTGTAAGCTTAGTAAGATACTACTGAAGACCTTTCCAAATGCATGGGAATCTAGAAGAAATATAAAGGAAAATGAGCTGCCCAGCATCTGGTAATGTAATAGAGTGAAGGATCTTCAGGGCCTGTCATTTTAGTCACAGGCACTACTATCTAAAACAACAATGGTTTCAAACTTTGATTTGCATCAGTCCCTTCAGTTTGTTTTTCGGCGGCTGGTGGTAAGGGGATCCCAACCCCTGACCTGGATGTTATCAGCATCATGCTGTAACCAAGTGAACTAACAGGACAGCCCCACTTCTTCAGCTTGCTTAAAGTGGCTGCCAAGGCCCCCACCTAGGGATTCTGATTGAGTTAGGCTGGGGCAGGGCCCAACGAGTCTGTATTTTAAGAAACCCCTTCAAGTGATTCTGGTGCACAAGGAACTAAGAGAACCCCTTGTATACAGGATTCTAAATATGTGTGTCATGCTGGAGGATGGTACCACTTCAACCTGTCAGAACTTTTCATCCAAACCGGTCATACTCGAAAGTGCCTGGGTACTTCCGGAAGCACAAATTCCTTTGGTGGAGCTCACCCCGAAGAGGGAAATTACCTGCTTCCCACCCCGGGAATAAAAATGAGAAAGGCGTGTAACACTGCTGAATCATTTAGGCTGCTCCCAACTTTGAACTCATGCTAATGCCTTGTAATCTCTAACCGGCAGATTTACTTGTCAGGAAGAAATTTTAATTGCATCATAGATGCTTTATACGAGGCCTGAGAGGTAGGGTAGGGTGGCAAAGGGTGGGAGGAACAACCAGGTCGGGCAGAGAGGACCAGCGCTGGAAGGACCTCTGGTTTTATGCTCTCCCCTCAAGCTCTCAACCTTCTCTCTCCCTGTAACCTTGTCAGGACTCCACGGCCGGGGCGCTCGCTCTTCCTAGTCCTCTTCACCCACCGCTCAGCCCCCGCTCTCAAAAAGGCGCCAACTCTGGGTACTCTCCCCGCCACCGCGCTTCGAAGTCGGCCCCAGCACACCCCCTTCCCCAGTGTCTTATTACTGCCCTATCAGCGAGTATTCCCTTCTAGGCAACGACTCGCTCCACAAACTTTTGCTTCATCTCCTCGCTGGCTCCGCATCCCCTCGCCCGTGGGAGGAACAACCAGGTCGGGCAGAGAGGACCAGCGCTGGAAGGACCTCTGGTTTTATGCTCTCCCCTCAAGCTCTCAACCTTCTCTCTCTCTCCCTGTGACCTTGTCAGGACTCCACGGCCGGGGCGCTCGCTCTTCCTAGTCCTCTTCACCCACCGCTCAGCCCCCGCTCTCAAAAAGGCGCCAACTCTGGGTACTCTCCCGGCCACCGCGCTTCGAAGTCGGCCCCAGCACACCCCCTTCCCCAGTGTCTTATTACTGCCCTATCAGCGAGTATTCCCTTCTCGGCAACGACTCGCTCCACAAACTTTTGCTTCATCTCCTCGCTGGCTCCGCATCCCCTCGCCCGACAGGACTGCAGGCCTAGTCTTTCGGTCCCTAACCTCTCCCGGTGCTCGAGGTCGGGCCTGGGCTTCGCCAACTACACCTCGTCCCCTTCATCGTCTCCCAAGCCCGCGGCCCCCAACCCTTCCAAGGTCCCTTCGTCCCGGCCAGGTGGTACCCCACTTCTTCCCGCCCCATAGTCGGGTGCTCCCGGCTCCCATTATCCCCATCAGTCTTTGCTTACCGAGACAAACAAAACCCTCACGACCCAAGCGGCTCGTACGTCCAGCACGAACACCCCGTCCGGTCGGCTTCTCTCCGTCCCGCCCACAGCCTGACCCAGCCAATCAGAAGCCAGCGGCCAGCACGCGGGGATTGGCGTCGGCCCGGTGTGCGTGCGTGTGAGCGGTGGGTGGGGCGGTCCGGAGAGGGCCCCGGATTGGTCCGAGCGACGTGCGCGGGCGGGTGGGGCTCTGCGTCCCCGGCTCTCGCGTACGGGTCGCGTCAGACATGAGAGCCCGGCGGGTGGAATTTGCGCTGGGACACTCAAAGGCCCTTGGCCACTGTCCCCGGGTCGTCACAGATTTCTGTCTGCCTTCCCCTGGGGTAGCGGGGGGCGAGCGCAGTGAATGCCGCGTCCGGGGTGCTGGCCGCTTGCGGGACTCCGCGCGGGCCGGGCTGTGCTGGGGGAAAGGGCTTTCGATAGCGGCTGGTCCTCGCGAGGCTGCGGGGTGGGTAGAAGCACGAGCAGTCCTCAGGGGCGTCACGGCGGTGGGGCGACTAAGCACCCGACCCGTTCCGCTCCCCTGGCGGTGGTCAGACGTGAACGTGCGTTGTTGGGTCTCCTGAGGGACCCTTCCTGGAGCTTACATTCCGGTGGGGAGCAGCCATTAATTGCAAGCAGGGAGTCATAAGAGCTGCGACCTCCGGAGCCGGGGAGGTTTCTCCGAGGAAGGGTCAGAGACCCCGCATGACAGGGGGGGGGGGGGGGGGGGGGGGGGGGGGGGGGGGGGGGGGGGGGGGGGGGGGGGGGGGGGGGGGGGGGGGGGGGGGGGGGGGGGGGGGGGGGGGGGGGGGGGGGGGGGGGGGGGGGGGGGGGGGGGGGGGGGGGGGGGGGGGGGGGGGGGGGGGGGGGGGGGGGGGGGGGGGGGGGGGGGGGGGGGGGGGGGGGGGGGGGGGGGGGGGGGGGGGGGGGGGGGGGGGGGGGGGGGGGGGGGGGGGGGGGGGGGGGGGGGGGGGGGGGGGGGGGGGGGGGGGGGGGGGGGGGGGGGGGGGGGGGGGGGGGGGGGGGGGGGGGGGGGGGGGGGGGGGGGGGGGGGGGGGGGGGGGGGGGGGGGGGGGGGGGGGGGGGGGGGGGGGGGGGGGGGGGGGGGGGGGGGGGGGGGGGGGGGGGGGGGGGGGGGGGGGGGGGGGGGGGGGGGGGGGGGGGGGGGGGGGGGGGGGGGGGGGGGGGGGGGGGGGGGGGGGGGGGGGGGGGGGGGGGGGGGGGGGGGGGGGGGGGGGGGGGGGGGGGGGGGGGGGGGGGGGGGGGGGGGGGGGGGGGGGGGGGGGGGGGGGGGGGGGGGGGGGGGGGGGGGGGGGGGGGGGGGGGGGGGGTCTGTGATTAAATTAGTCTTAGTATAACCACAAAACAAGGCAGACTGTCAAGTGCTGTATCGTACAGGTAGTAACTAAACGTCATGGATTCAGGATTTTGAAAGTCGTGTCTCAATTGATTTAAGCCACTCATAGGAAACATTTTATGCTGTTTAAGATTTAGGGGAAAAAAAGATACTTCATACCTTGATTATGTGGTAACTTTCAGCTCCTTAAAGGCACGTATTTCGTCTTCCTGATCTTGATATCTCCTTGAACACTTTTTGTGCTAAGTAGGAGATCAATAATGGTGAATGAAGAAAGACAGCTGCTACAAAAGCTGGAGAGCTTAAAAGATAAGTAAAGATAATCAGTAAAGATAATTTGGGATAATTAAAATAGTAAGAGAGGCTAGCTGACTCCATGATGAAGGTAAAGCAGAAGTCATTAAGTCCCTTGATTCTGGAAATACAAAAGTTAACAGCAGCAACGACCAAAGCATATTCATTCTTGAAGGGAATTTACACGCATCAAAATAATGTTAGCTAACTTGCTAATTTCCAGAGAATGAGATTTGGGGTCTGGCACACCTGAGTGCAGGTTCCTGGTTGGCAAAACACTACCCATGACCTTGGGTTCAACTTCTCAAAACGTCATTTTTTTCACTTGTAAAATGGGGTAACTGTAATGATGGTTAATGAAGAAATACATGTAGAGTGTTAGTCCAGTGCCTAGTATGAAAAGTGTTGGCTGTTACTTTCAAAATACCTGTGCCATGCATTGTGTGAAAAGAGGCAAACCTTGCCCTCAAGAAGCTTATGTAGTAAGTATATGCACCTCTTAAACCAATTACTATTGGACATGAATCATTAAAGGTCACATAGTTGGTAAGTAGCAGAAATCCAGGACTGTAAACTAGGAATTTTAATTCCACTACATAATTAGAGGGCAACCCTTAGCAGATAATTTTTAGGACATTATACATTTTACACAAACTCATTACTCTTAATATTAAAACATATACAGGAAGGGTTTGGATAAATTCTGGCAGATCCACATAGGTAATTTAAGGAAAGTTAGGTATGCACTCCCTCTACAGCTACAACTGCATGAAAGATGCACAGTTGTCCTCCAGAATCTTTCTTGAAGCTATTGTTAGACACTGGTTGGCAGAATTGTCATTGGTCTGATCCAGTTTGAAATGACTGTTGAATTTTGAAGGAGGCTTGTCCCTTGACAAAAGTGTAATAGCCCTATTAGTTTGAGTTAAGGGACGTTAATAATTACAGGCAGCCATTGTTTTGGACTAAGCTCCTGCACTAGGCCCCAGCAAGCCAGACTAAAAATCAAAATGGGCTGGCCAGTTACTTCGTTAGAGAGCAACCTTATAACACAAAGATCACGGGTTCGGATTCCCATACCAGACAGCCACCAAAAAAAACAAATGGAGTCACCCCTGCTGAAGTTCCAAGTCGCCAAACTAAGCTGTTGTCTGACTTTCTTGACGAAATCAAGTAATTAGGTAACTACTGACATTTCTCAATTCCAAAACGATTCATCATTAGAAAATATGTACAAGTAGGACAGTTTAAATCTTTAATAGGCATGATAATGAGGTTCCCTCTGCTCTAACCCATCTTGACTAAATCAAGTAATTAGGTAACTACTGACATTTCTCAATTCCAAAACGATTCATCATTAGAAAATATATACAAGTAGGACAGTTTAAATCTTTAATAGGCATGATAATGAGGTTCCCTCTGCTCTAACCCTTCCGAAAAAGAAGTAACTTGAAGTTACCTGAACTTTGAAAAATAAGTTCTTTATTCTTTGCTTCTGCTTTTTCCAGGCCTTCTTTGTCTATAAAGCCAACCTCTTGCTCAGCTCACTGGGACACATATTCTATTTTAAGGAATGAAGTGTTGCCCAATTGTAGAATCACAAATAATTGAGATTTTTAAACTAAATTCATTGTAATTTTGTCCTTTAATGGAGAAAGTAGCAGGAAAAAATAAGTTAAAAGAAATTAAGTAACAGTACTGACATTTCTCAATTCCAAAATGATGCATCATTAGAAAATATATACGTTTATTGGGATTGGTTGGAGAATTGATATTGCTTTCAGTCCACTATATGTAATTGAAGTGGTGAATTAGGAATCAAACCTGAAACAAATCAACTTTTTGTTGAAATTGTTTAAAAAGACTGGGTGAGTCCATAAACCAGTTTCATTTCCCTATTCTTCTGAAACAAGGCAAAGGTACATCATCACCCTTTCTTTCCGGGTGGTATAGTGCATAACGGTCCTTGTCTGGCTAGGAGTATTGTAATGGAACTGCATTTGGTGTAGCAGGCCCTTAATGAAATTAATGGGATGGACACAATTTCTTTCCCAGGTCGTTACACCTTCAAAGAATTGCTTTATGAGAGAGAGACAAAGTACAAGTGTTTAGGAAGGTTTAAAACAATTCATTCTAATTCTTTAAAAAAAGATTTAGATTCAGTGTTAGATTTTAAAGGAGACTTAAAGCTCATCTAGTCCACTTCCTTTATTTTTGTGAGAATACAGATTTTTAGGATTTAAATGGATGTTTTAGATGACACACTTACAGGCAGAATGTGAATAACTGAGCCTTCCTGAGAACCAGCCTGGTGCTCTG